ACCGATCTGGCCCCTGTGGAGATCACCTGGCAGATCGCCGTCGGCGCATTAGGTTCTCTCTCTCTCTCTCTCTCCCTCTCTCTCTCTCTCTCTCTCAATCTATCTATCTATTACTCGCGCACCTTCACCTGCCATGTCCACTTCATCTTCCATTAATTAACTGCTTAGCGCGTGGATTCTTTCAGCTGGAATTACACCCTTCGTGGTTGCAGGGATCGAGTTCAGCAAGAGAATCGTGAGTTCCATTTCTACACTCATGCATACTTTCGGATTAAGAAAGATAAACTACAAAAAATAGTCTCAAATTACTAAGAATTAAATGATTTGGGTGATTATATATATATATAAATAAGTTTAATAGGCTTTTGAGTTGTATTGAATAAAATTTGATCCAAGACATACAAAAATAAGAGAATGTTGGAAATATTGATGCATGTGAAATGCAAAGAGATGAATTATTCGATCCACAACTTTGAAGAATTTGAGTTTTACTGGTGTTCTTCAATCTCGTATATGCAAACAAATCTAAGAGTCTAATTTTTCTTATAATTAGCCCTTATTTAAGGTCTAATTTGATCAATCTTTATTGCAGATAGCACAAAGAAAATGTGAAGTTTGTGCAGGCTCTGGTCTTGTTCTTCTTAAGGACAAGAGCTATGTCCGATGTCCTGGCTGTGGTATGTCCAACTCATCTCCTTGTAGTTGCTCTCACATTCTTGAACTTAATAGAGCGATTAATTGTAGATTCCAACTACAATAAATGATTTGACTAAATATGTGTTTTAATGCGCTCATTCTCAGGTGGATTTCTCCCATGGCAGTCTTGGAAAAGATTCTTCACAGGATAGAGAGTGATGGAGCAAACATCTCTCTCTCTCTCTCTCTCTCTCTCTCTCTCTCTCTCTCTAATGTCATATATAGAATAACTCATGTTGCTATTGTCCTTCTTTATACACCAATTAGACTAATAAGCCAACAAAGCTGGTGGTGTACGAGGCTTTCGCTAATATTTGTATAAACATTAAAACAGTCAGATGGTGTATATTAAGTTTGTCTACATTCTAATAGTTTATCTTAAACTTTTAGATTGAATTAGCATCCCATCTAATGCATATTAATCTCGAACAATCTAACTCAAATTCATCGGAATCTTGATGCGTTTTGAGTTCTATGTTTTGACCTTTCAACGGAGGAAACTACGAACAGTACTCCTTCAATGTCCAAAGGTTAAAACATACCAAAAGATAATTAATTACCTAATGTCAGGATTCATTCGTGAACAGATTCAGGGTGAGCAGTATAATCCTATTTAATTAGATAATATATATTATAGATATGATTTGATTCTGATTATGATTATTGATTAATATATTTTTTTTAATCATAGTAGGATTCCTTAAGAGAGAACATTACTAAGAGATACTTTCCTAATTTTTTAGAAGAGGTCTTGTCTATTTAGATCTCCTAGGAACTCAATGTGGATATGTGATACTATATTTTTTTTCTTATCTCCCTCTTGTTCCTAATGCATCACTTATAGCGGAAAGGATAGAAAGAGAGAAAAATATGAGTCTAGTTCTCCTTACAAATCGACATTGTTGTAGCTTTCAGATCCGACAATGATACGCTTGTACATCAGATTAAAACTTTTTGGATGACATCGAAGGATATACATCGTATATTTAATGTATATTATTTTATTTTAAATTTTTGACACTAAAGTTTTCTATATAGTAATAGCATATTACAGTAGTTCGATGGACCACCATTGACAACTTATTATCGACGACAATATTATTGAGGATGCCGACCTTTGATGGTTGCCAACCCAATCACAAGCTTCGGCTATGTATGCGGAGGAAGCATCATAGGGTGTGACAACCAATAGCGAATGTATGCACGACTGCTTATGATGATTGGCTTAACTTGATTGCAGGAGGCTATGGTCATTGCTTGCGATGGCTATGACAGTGTTGCTGCTTGCAATAACATTACTATACCATTTGCTGGTTGTGGCAGGTATCATTTGGACGTCATAGGTTGTGACTCCCAACAGCTACGTAACAGACGCGTGGGCATAGCTGCAAGTTGCCGTAATCGTGGGGGTCGCTAGTTGACGCATGTGCACGGCTACAAGTTGCGGTAATTGTGGGGGTCGCTAGTTGATGCATATGCACGGTTGTGTAGTGGGACAATTCGTCAATGATGCTCGATCAACGATGCACTACAGATGTGTTCCATTAGTGAGGAAAGCAACAATCATTGGTTAGTCACATATGAAGAGCCACGTCATTGCGAACAACAATTGCAACGTTAACCCATGTAATGGGTGTGGTGGAACACAACGATGGTTGCAAGAGTAGGTTTAGGGTTTTATTTATTGAAATTATAGTTTTACCCTTATATATTATTAATTCTAATATATGTTCTGTTAATATCTCTGTTCTTGAGAAACTACATATTTCCAACATATATCCCAAATAAAATTATAGTTTTACCCTTTAGAAATTATATTTTTTAAACATATATTCTCAATTATAAAATTGATTAATTTAAATTATTTTAATTAAATATTTTGATATGACTTTGATCATGATTATATTTTGATTGCTTGAGTGAATTTAGATTTGATCAATTAAGTCTTGATCGAATTCGAAAAAAAATCAAATTTTGATCCATTTTTAAATGGTTAACCCAAATTTATGAACCTGATTTGAATAATTAATCCAATTCTAGACTTATCAAATTAAAAAGGATTAACTAATATAAGAGTTTCGTACAAAATTAAAAATATAAATTATAATTTTTCTTTATAGTTTTTTCATATGACATATTGATAATATTTTATATATACTAGATACAAATTTAATTATTATTTTTAAACATTTATTTGATTATTCACATACATATATTTAAAATTATAAAATAATATTTATTTTTTACATAAAAAACATGATTTATGATTTATCATGATTATATTTATTAATATTTTTTTATTATGCTGATTAATATTTAATAATTATTATGATTATTGTTTTATTATTACAAGACCATCCTATCCTTTGCCTCTCTAAACTTCTCTTATTTTCCTTCTCCATAGCATCAAAAGGAACAAGAAGAAAGAAAGGAAACCGACCTCTAGTTTCAACCCAACGACCCATTTGATGCTCCATCTGATATCTGTGATCTCTGCAACCACTGCTTTGGAAGCACGTAAAAGCCAGCATATGAGAAGACAGTTGAATAGGGAGGAGGCAAGGCATAATGGACAAGGAAAAGAAGAGCAAGAGACTTGTAACAAAGCAACTCTCATATACATCCCATATACATATGGATCTGAATAATGGAAAAAAGAATCCAACTTGCTGTCGTCCGTTGTGCTAATCAAATTGGAGTAGGGATAAAGACTAACGTTGCAACATCCCATATACATATGAATGTTGTCAGGGGCAATAGATTTTTCTCTCCTCTCTACTCCAAATACCCCAATCTCACACTTGACACAGAATGATCTTGTTTGAGAGAATGTATCCATGGATACATTGCGAGATCAAATACGGGAGCAACCCAAAGCAACTCAAATAAAGACACACTTGAAGTCGATATGAAGATCGAACTTAAGGGAGGACCGACCCATGAAATGATGGGCGCGAGGGCCACCATCAACTCAATACAAAAACGAGGAGCGGAACAACTTGAGTGTAACTTAGTGAAGTACCCAAGCCGTATGAAGGGAACCAGCATAAAAGATGGAACATAGAACGAAAGCATAGCGCTTTCCTTGGACAGAGGTCAAGGACACGAACTCTTGCAGAGACAAAAGCAGGATCATGTTGTTCCATGGGTCCTTCATTCTGATGAAACGAACTCGACCACCAAAGAACAAATAGATTTGTCTCTCCCCTCTACTCTAAATACCCCTCCACTATTTTAGGATTTTGGCCCGTTAACTAAACTAACTTGAGTATTAGATGGATATCAGACTCATCTTAACCGTCTTTACTTGAGAAAAATAGCAAAGACCTCTATCATCACTTGTACCCTCTCAATTTTCATGTTGTTAGATGATTCTCGAACTGTATCAAGATTTGAAATCTGAATTCGGATTGACAACTTCTGGGCAAACAAATCTATTTCATTCTCAAACTCTCAGTTTGAGTGATTGAGGTTGTATTCTCACTACGGAAACCGAGTTTGAGTGATTGAGGTTGTATTCTCACTACGGAAACCGTGACCAAGTTCCGGTGACAATTTCAAATCACAACTATCAGCAAAAGCAGCATTTACTCTAAGCATCTGATCACAGAATGCAATAATGGAGGATGAATGTATAACAATGACTCACCTTGATGATATTTTTCTGCCCTTCTATTCTGCAACTTGCTACAGAGAAGACAACAAATCAAAGTCAATAAGAGTAGCCAGTGGAAAGAGTAGACACAAAATTCAACACATTGACACAAAGAAACACATCAATTTGTCATGGAAGAATGTATAAAACTACCTCCCCAATCTGGTTGACTAATCCATGCATTCCAAGCATGATTCAAATTCAACTCTTCAAGGATCCAGATATTTAACACTATCCAAGCATCATACCTTTATAATTACTCCAGAAATCAGAAAAAAAAAGAAGCTTTGATCTCCCGTAAGTGGATCTCAGCTGATGCAGATCTTTCTTCTTGCCAAGTTCCTACAATTACAAACACAATAAACTTGTAAAAACGTGTTGAGTTGCTAGGAAATGTGAAAGGCGATTATACGATACTCAACAGTAAGGTCATGACCATTTTACAGCATTATACATGTAAATTCAGGTAAATTGATCAACTTAAACAGCTTCACATGTTCATTGGGACATCGATCACAAATTGGCATTGGTACTAGCAATTCAATCACCTAAGATGAAATGCCAAAACTTGAAAGTAAAATAACCACAGGATTTGCATCATTCTGCTGATCAAAACTTTCAAACGCATACAGTAAGCAAAGATATCAGTATGGTAGACATCAGATACACAATGTCATGTTGCACTGCCGATATTCCACCCCATTATGAATTTCCATGGTTTGACAAGTTCCACAAAAGACTTATGATGCTTTTTTTTTCACAGGTGACAATAGAGGCCCTACCGATGCCATGGAGGGGTTCATTGGTGCTGCAAGTCCAGGACTGTCTGCCAGGAAGACAAGCAATTCACCAAAGTGCATGAACAGTGTCAATCTATTACATGCATAGAAGTGCCAGGATAGAAGGCATACTGGAACATAATATAGCACAAAATACTCATTGCCACAAGCAATAACCTATGCTGTCCTATGAAACTGGCTCTTTCCTGGCAATGAAGTATTGACAGCAACAATCCCATACTCAAACATAATCAGGAAGAGGCATGGCATGCTCATCATGGATGCACGTGCTGTTTCACATGAATATAACTAACTCAAACTTGGTATCTGAAGAAATTTTTCAAAAAAATAAAAACAGAATTCAGACGTCTTAGCACAGCTCATGACATCGATCATATCTGATATGATATACCCAATCCGTATCAATAGCATCCAGGGACAACCTGATTTTTGACTGATTTCTTAGCCTTAACCCAGAATGGTGAAAAATCACCTGAATAAACTGAACTTGGCCAGAATTGGCCCATTCTTTTCAATTTTTGTAGATTTGATAACCTTGAAATGATTTTAGAAAAAATGAAGAGGAAAGGGAGGAGGCCAATGGTCAGTTGGTCACCACAAGCACAATAATAGGAGGGCATGTGCAGGAAAGTCAAAGAAAGGGAAGAAAAAGACATCACTATGATCGTGAAACAAGGAAAAACATGCATCTGCAATTGTATTCACCACTCAATGCAGCATTTACATTAGACATCCCCCACCAGTATTGCAATGTTCATTGTCTACCACCACATGATATGGAGAGAAAAGGGTCAGAGAAAAAGGAAAGAGAGAGAGTAACACTTCTTAATGAATAGGAATGTCATCATAAAATCATGTGAAAGCTCTCTTTAGGTGGAGTCCTTTAGGTGTCTTTGCATTGTCTAACAATTCACCCACAAAATTTATTAGGGACGACTTAAGACCATACACCTATTTCTATATTAAAAGATACAAGTAGACAACTACTAGATCTTCTTGCATTGCATATATACTATAATTTTTGAAAAGTAAATAGTTTGTAATACAATAATATCTTTGTATAATATAATTAATATTATTTCTAAAAAACATATCAATGTTCTACTTAATAAAAATATTATCTGTTATGATTTTATTGTTACCATTGCTAATTTACAATAGCAAAAGCTCGTGCACTGGGTAATAATTTTCAATCTATTATGCTTTCAAAAGTTAAATATCTTCTGGAATAAGCAGGAAAATCTTATAATATTTCACAATTTTTATGGTTTTTTATTATAACTTTTTTTGTTGACCTACTTTGATGTTTAAGCCTACCAATCCAATCCAACCGATCCCTCCAATCCAACCAATTGCACCAAACTGATGTAAACCCTGGTTATAATATTTGGATTACTGCACGCTAGCTCCTGACATTAGGTCATTCTTGCCAACAGCAACCATGTGAGCAAATTTGACTGATTCATCATGTGAATAACCACAATAATCCAATTAGGAAAAGAATTTGCCTTTTATGACCTTCAAGTGAGGTATAATAACTACCTGCTTCAACGATTTATTATTGAATATACTGAGAGACATAATTGATAGAGAAATCCAGACTCAACTATGGTACATGACTAAAGAACCTTATCTCTTTAAGCTAGTCCATGGACAAAAGATCCATTTCTTAATCATCAGATGGAAATTTGTTGAAGCAAGTAACAGCATAAAGCATTGTTGAAAGGCAACAATAATACTCCAAAGGACACTATAAAGCTACAATCCCTTTGTATGCATTGGTTGGGGTCATCCTAACACCCACTAGATCAAGAGAGGTCAGTATGGTTTTTCCAAATGGAACATTATGGATGAAAAACCAATCATATTAATTTTTCAGCATATTTTCATTATAAATATGTGCTGGGAGCTGATACTTGAAGTTCTTATTATTGGCTTTCATTAAGAGATATTTGGCATTACTCATATTTGTGTCATTCTACTTATAAAATTAAGACATTATAAATTCTTGTTAGAAAAAATGTTTGGCAAATTTTCTTTCAATTGAAGTTCTTAGAAAGTATTTAACAAAAGTTTCCCTATTTTCAGAAGTAGAAACTTTCTCCTTCTGAAACTTCTAAAAGAAGAATAAAGGTAACCATCAAACTTTTTTTATTAGGAAAGGAATTCATGAATTTCAAGAAGTTTGGTCTGAACACCTATTGATAATGATGATGAGGATGAGATGGATAAAAATAATATGTCCCATTCATTTGGGACATCGAATATAAGGGAGTGAGTGGTTATTTGTGTCACTCCATTTTTTTAAATTTATTTCCTTTATTATTTTTTAATAATTTATCAGAGTATTCCACAGTCCCCACCAAAAAAACAAATTAATTTTTTTCCCATTCAAGAGGTCAGCAAGTCATCTACAGGCAATTACAGAAAAAAAAAGGTTGCCAACATGTTTAACTTCCTTCAACCCATTTATAAATGGGTGATGAGTTAGGGATAGCAGATATAGACTGGAGCTACTTTGGAGTTTGTACCAAACACCAACCAACCAGTCTTGTCGCCGACCCTAGTAAAAAATGTGATCTTTGCCATTTATAAAGAGAAAACGAGAGAAAAAAGTGAAAAGGACTTCCAAATGGAGTGTGTCACTTACCTAGAATTTCTCACACAGCCCAATTCGTTGGGAACAGAAAAGTGCACAATCGACCAAATTTGACATGCCATACAATACAGTTACATATCCACTCTGCGAGCGTGTCTAGATGTTCTTTATAGCTGAGCAAGTTCATGTGGTTTGTCTATAACTGCTCTAAATATAATCTCTGCTCTCTTCTTCTTGTCATCCTTCTCATCGTACTTGAGAGACCATGAATCCTTATCAGCAATCAAAGTGTCAGAAGGGAGTGATGCTGTTACAGATTTCTTGACAGTCCCAACCTTAAAATGCACTGTAGGCCTGATTCCATGAAGAAGCTTTCTCTCATTAGTATTGAAGTCGAGAGAACCAACCTTTGCCGCCTTGATGACAGGTACAAAAGTCTCAAGAACAGACAACCTCTTGCCAGCATACGCTTTCAGTGGACTGGCAATTTCAGATACTTCTTTCTCACCATATGGTAAAGGTGAGGCCAGAAAAGGATTGTTATTAACCTGATTGCCATTCCCAACATGGCCATCTTTGGTTGGACGAAACCCAGCTGTACTGTTGCAGGCAAGCCGCTGTTGTAAGCTTAACAAAGACCTCTCAGCCTTCTTCCGCCGCTTTGCTAGTTCAACCATGTCTGCTTTGACATCAGTGTCCCTCTTGTTCCAAACTGGTGTGTGGACATAGGTGTGAGGATCAGGGAACCTTGGAAGCCAGTTAGGTATGTGCTCTCCCGGCGGTTCCTCCCCAGCCTGAACAAAGCTAGGTGCAGGCTTGGGCATCCGAGATACAGGGAATCTAGGAATGGGCTGAACAAATGGGATTTCCTCTTCTGTGCTTACAAACTGGGTGATCTCTCGAACTACACCAGTATTCACTAGGCAACGGTGAACACCAGATGCACCAGAAAACCCTCTCCACGAGTCCAAATCCTGTATTCCCTGGATGACATCAAACACATTGCAATCCGCTCTTCCAGCCAAATTGGCATAAAAATTGGCACTTTTGCCTAGATCGCAAATGTACCGGACGGCAACCTCTGCAAGAGCGTCAATCGCAGAGCGACGGGAGTAGTGAAACCCGGTCGACTCACAAAGCTGGGCAACTGCGATCTTGGCGATGGCATGGCCAAAATCGTCACCTCCTGACAGCCGACCCTTCTTCGAGCTGATCTGTTGACCCCTTCCACTATTCTTTCTTCCATCGCTCATATTCGATCGATCATATTACCAGCGCCAAAACAAGGGTTCGCCCAATCTCCGCCACTCCTAGTTCATCCGCCGCGCCTATGAAGCTCGCGATCAGGTCATCACATCCCAAAAGCCAGCGCGATCCGCTAACCCACCAGGATTTAGCAGCTTCTGAACCAGAAGCCGCAGTAAAACGCACAGCAGAATTCTATATGCCGGCGAAGGCGTCCGGAGTTACAAAGCGGCTCCTCAATGAATCTCGACAGCTTTTGAGATCGGGACAAAGAACTAATTAAACGCAAGAAGAACAAAATCTAGGTTTGCGAAAGGAAGGAATCGACGGCAACGGATAAAAAATACAAAGGAATATGAGGACGGGAAGACTCAGCAAAAGAAACCCCTCGATAAACCCTAAATTTCGAGAAGCACGAGAGAAGGATCGAAGGATTTCAGATGGGTCGACGGGGTAGTTTAATCCATGCGACGATTAACACACGTGGCGAGCATACATTGGCGAAGGTTTGTAGGTCGAATGTGTAGGGGTGCGGGTAATGCTGTTCCGGCGGAGCAGTGGATCTCAGGGCCGTGGAGTGGGGCCCGCCTCCGCGTGGTCTCGATTGGGTGTCTCACGGACACGTTTTCAGCACGTAACACATCGACACAGGCGTCCCAGGGCGAACCCTCTGCCTCACATCAACGTCACCGTATGTTACGTGTCTTTATGCGAATCGTCATAACTAGTGCTTGGTGTTCAGTGTAACGCATCAGTACTGCTTCGCGTCACATGGCTTCCCCGTATGTAAGATGTCCCTTTCCGCCGTTGGATTTTAAGACGTATCAATCACGAGTTGATCGGGCTCACGATTTTTGGCGCAGTGGTGCTGAGACAAAAAACCTCGACAGCCAGGAAAAGCGAACCAAAAACCCTAAACCTAGAACGAGCAATATCGATGGCGAAATCGTCGACGTCCATGGAGAAGCTTAAGGGATTCTTGAGTTCTCAGATCAGTGACGAGGAGAAGTGGGCTCTGAATTCGGTAAATCTCCCTTTGTTATGTTTCTTCTGAGTTCCCGTGGTATAATGGGATTCAGAAATCTTCAAAGGTTAATGCTTCATATGATCCTTGTGATTGTTTGCTTAAGTTATTCTCTTCTGCCCTCCTTTATTGTTTGATGATCATCGGATTTATTCTCTTACCTCGAAGTGGTTGTTGAGCTGATTATTTGAACCGTTAAAGCAAATCTTTTTTCTGTACATGCTCCGTTGCAAGAAATACTAGAAAGCAAGAATACAGTGTTTGGTCGTTTAAAGCCCAAATCTTGGAGGTTTTATGCCGGTAAATCTGCTAGTTATATCATCTCTCGATTGATAAAGTATTACCTACTAAAATTTGGAGAGCAGTTAGAACTTTATGAACTTAAGGTGCTAGTGGTAGTGTTCAATTATAAAAGTGAGCATACTATTGGCGAGAAATTATTTTGGTGTTCTTTAAAGAGTGATCAAGTTAATGCTCTTATCTGAAGAATTAGGGTATTAAGTTCTGCAATTTGCTTTATGATTTGAATCAATTGATTTTTTTTTTTTTTGTTGAAGAGGACATATTAACTGCTGCAGTTTGCTCCATTATTTGCTTTCTTGTATTGGATATTTTTGGTAAATATTAAATACCAAAAGATCTAAATATACTCGTATGGCTGCTTTAGCAAATTATTTGACAATTATGTACTTTCTTTGCGAATTCATGACTGCATTGTGTTTTTGGAGCTTACCGGTTCGACATATGGGTGGCAGGTTTGACTAGAAGTTGATGATAGTGCCCTATAACATTGTAGGTGTTATGCTGAATCCATAAACCTTGTGCATCTTTCAGGAGTTTTTCAGGAAAGAAGTAAACTGGTTGTCTTCTTGTTTTATATGAGTTCTCCCCTTAATTTCTTGTGCCTTGCTACGCCAGAGATGTAACTTGTTGTAAATCCTGTAGTTTATTTTAACATATTATCCCTTAGGTATTAGATATTTAGAAATTGATCTCTTGTATTTCTTATGTCTTGACCCTAAAAATCCCTCAAAAAATTATTCAGGCTTGTGCAGCTTACATGTGATGTGCAGTAGCTGAATATTCAGATAAATAGCTGTTTACATTACCTATGCATTTTTTCATGTATTATATTATCCTTCAATCACCCAGATAATTCATGCCTAGAATTTTTACAGCAATTGAAGTAAAAAACAAGCTACCAAAACAAAGGGGATGATAGAAGAAAGAAAACAAAATTAAATCATGCAGCCTCTTCTTTTCTTTCTTTTTTCCATCATCTTAGTCCTCCACTCCCTCAAAACTTTTCCTTTGCTTCTTCCCGCCACTTTTAATTTGCTTCTTTCTTTCTCTTGGTCCTTTTTTTTTAAATATCCTCTATTCCCAGTCTTGCTTTTCTGCAAAGCTACTCCTCGTTCTTTATTTCTTCGGTTTTTGCAGTCTTGCTTTTGTACTTCATTAATTGATAAGCCACTACAAAAACTTGAGAAATGGATATCTGCTGAGGCACTTTTTTCTTCGCTCTAAAAGGAGTTTCCATGATCTTCTTTTCTGCCAGTGTCTCATGTCCTTTGATGCAATGGAATTGGCTGTGACTTATGTAACACTGCTAATTTTGGTGGTAGTGGCTAGATTAAACAAATTGTTGACCTCATAATTTTCAAGATGACATTTGAGGGAAAAATTGTCCACCTGTCTGCTCAGCAAATGGCCAGCACCTTTCTCGTAGTGGGCATTCTAACCTTCTAGCGTCATCAATATTTTTGTATTACTAAATATAAACAATATCAAATTATCTTAGTTGCTACTTTTTAATGCTTTCTAGTAATCAAGATGATGTTTTATGTGTGGTAGGTTCTTTCCGGAGTCATAAATGCATGGTCTAATATGGATATGATGTGAATGTAACATCTGCATAACTGAGAAACTAGCAAATACTATTGCAACACAACTTAAATGGCACATACCTTTTTTTTTGTTGTCTTTTTCTAATATCGGTACCTTTACTTTTTTATTATTTAACAGTTTTGTATAATTGGAGTGGAAAGTGAATTTTGTATTGTTCATTTTTTACCTGTTCGCTTATGGTAGTCAATCATTTATAATATTCTTGTGTTAACAGCCTTCCAGCTTCATACTAGATTTTTCATTTACCCACTTAACTTTGTTACAGAAGCTGCTACGTGCTGCCGGGCTGTTTGCTGCATCTATAGTTCTAATGCGCAACTTTGGAGATCTTATGGCTATCTAAAGCTGAAGTAGTGGATTGTATTTCTTTTATATACTTAAATGTTATTTAGGATGTTTTGCTTCCCATCTTGCTAGCGGATTGTAATTCTTCTTTTATATACTTAAATGTTATTTCAGATGTTTTGCTTGCAGTTTATGTCATAAGCTGCATATGCTTTTCAGGTATCACGTTCATATGGCATTTGGTACAGTAGCATGGTTTTCTTGCCTATTAAATCATTCTTGTCGGCCTTTTTTGGTTCTTACGAATATTATCTTGCCCCGGTCTGGGTTCTTTTGCTTTGCCATTAACATGTAAGTTATTATCATCCCAAAAGACTCAATTTAGGGCTACTTTACTTGCCGGTTGTTGTAAATGAAGTGAGAAAATGAGTTTAAAGCTTTTCAAATTTTAGTTTTGAGTTTTACAATGTAATATCGCAATAATGGTGGGTTGAATTGTGTCTCAAATTTGAGAAAAAAATGTATGGTTGTTTTGCTTGCTTCTGGAAATGATGACAAGATGTAACTTTTGAAGGCATGTCATCTCTGGTAACATGATGTTTGAATTACAGAATCACAATACTGTGGTGTTTGAAATGAATTATGCATGCTGAAAGCTAGCTCTTATATTTTTTGCCCCTTTTCTCATAATTTGTTCTATTCATCCTCATGGATAAGCAATAAAAATAAGATTCAGTACATGAAACTTCTATTTGAGAGTCAATATATATATATCTTATTTTAAATAGTGTACATATGTGATAGATTTAACCTTACATTTTTTGTTGTTGTGTGATTATTTCGAGCTTGTGAAATCTATCTTTGTATTTGTTTATCCATAACTATAAGTAGATTATAGGAACCAATATTGCAAGTGAGTTTTGCAAAATGAGAGGTAGAGAAAAATATAGGTCTGGCTGAATCATTCAGAGCATTTCATGTCACCCTACAGTATCAAATCATCAATCTGGCTGCATGCCCACACCTCCCTGCGTAATTTTTGGTTTGTGTTGGAAGGGACATCATTAGATCTCAAATCTACTGGATATTATCCTTTGCTTGCAAGGCAAGTGAAGGTGAAGGTGAAGGTGAAGGTGAAGGTGAAGAAGAAGGTGAATCCTCATCCTTACGACTACAAGTACTTAACTTGAGTCCAGATGAACTCTGCTACTCTACTCAATGCTCGACTACTCTTATATCAATTTCGGTCGTCTACCAAACTCTAAGATCCATTATCTACGTAATAGATTGAATATTATCATTTGTCCATATGATGAACACAATGGTATTCTCTCTCTTCTTCTTGCATGCATTGTCTTCCCACACGTGTTATCAGAGCAATACGACCAGATAAAAGTTACTACAAGCTGTAGTTCCACTCCCTGTCCTCCTTGCATGCATTTACTGCCGAGGAGCCCCATCTGTTCATAGGTCTCTCGCCATGCTGTTTAAAGCCCATCACCTCCTCTCTCTCTCTCTCTCTCCTCTTCCTTTCTTCTCCTTCTCTTGGATCATAGCGACGCTCTTTCTTGATGATCTCCTGCGGCCGAGAGAGCCATGACGAGTTCTTCCTTTCCTTCTGCAGCGCTTTGGGCCCTTATCTTGGTCCTCGTCTTCCTCTCACCGGCGTCCACGAGTCGTCTCTCTCAGGATGATGATACCTTCTCGGCCTACGTTTGCGGCCGCCACTGCCACCACCGAGCTGCGAGTTCTTCCTCCTTATTGCGTGGGTTGCCTTCGTGGTGCCTCCGTCCTCGGCCAGGCCAGCTTCAGCCCCCTCCGCAGCCGCCGCCCGGGGAGGAGGAGGAGGAGGTCGATCCCCGATACGGCGTCGAGAAGCGGCTCGTGCCGACCGGGCCCAATCCTCTTCACAACTGAGTTCTTGTATCAGTCCCGGTGGTTGGCGTTTTCATCCTCTCTTGTCCTTTCTTTCCCTTTAACCTGTGGCGCTTTCTTGGTTTCCATCCATAGTGTAAGAGATGCGGAAAGGAATCACAATGGAGGATGTTTACTGCTTTAGTTGTTGCTGCGTTAAATCTCCCAGTGTTGTTTGAGTTCTTGAGATGACTGTGCATGGAGTTCATCTGAGTTATCTTCTCTCTCTACAATATGTTCGACTCAAAAGAGGCTCATGATTTCATTAAATTGGATGGTGGTGGAGAGCTCAATGCATTCATGTGTTGTCCTGAGTCATGGGTAATGCATGAGCCTCACAAATCCTTCTCTTATTCCCCGCACTGTGATTTCACTGTCTATCTTGGCAATGCCACACAGCAATAAAGTAAGCATTAAAGGGAGGTTAAAACATGCTCTTTGGGGGGTTGCACTTCATGTAGCTATCAGATGAAACATTGTTTTTGGAAAGCTACAAAGCTAGATGTCAGTTCTGAGAAGAACTCTGAAGAAGCTATCAGATGTAACTCAGAGTGTGCAATGTTTGCATCGAATTAAAATGTAACTTACTACATTTGTAAATCTGCAAGGCTGATTGCATAACCTACTCATAAGATCATATTCTTAAGCTATTAAATGCAATGAAGAAACAGATGCAGATTAATGTCTCAAAATGAGCCCACTGCAGGAGAAAGAGAAAGAAAAGTGCATGACAAGGAACAGAGGGGTTGATTGCCCACATTAATTGTGAGGTTTAAGAAAACTAATAGATGCATACTCGATTAAGATTGGAGAGAAATTGAAGGGCTGAAACAAAGCAAGAGAGATGCATTTATAAATAAGATCAAAATTTAGCAAGTCGTGTCAATTTTAGGATTAAAGGATGACACGAAATAGTAATTACTATAGTCAATGGAAAAGAAAATTCAAGTTCTTGAGTGTAATCTGTAACTTCAAGAAAAAAAAGGGGTTCTTGGATCCAACAAATTGTAGAAGTAGTTTATATCATCAAGAAATGTCAAAGGATACAGTACAAATTGGAGTGAAGTATCTGATCAAATTATGCAATGAATCCAGTAAAAGAAGTCCAAGTTCAGTTGCAGCTTTCTGTAGAAACTTGTGCTCAAGGATGGATTGAAGCTGTTAAAATTTACATCACAGTAGGATATTGTAATAGCAGAGCAGACCCATGCAAAGTTTTCAGCATTACAACTTAAGCCACAGAGACAAGGAAAAGTGTAGATGCATGCACCAAATGAACCAGAGGGAATATAGACAGAAACAGATCATATTATTTAGAGTAACAACATAAAATCTTCATATACAAAGAGGAATCAAAGTGTTTTTCATTACAGTAGAAGTACTTGCTGAAAGGCAGAACTGGTCTGAATGTTGTGCACTTTATTTATTTCACAGTCTCAGGGATTGTTTGAATTATCAGTGCATTATAGGATAGGGACAACAACAACAACAATCATGGAAAGCTTGTATGCCTTGCAAAGCAAATCCAGCTTTCTCAAGTTGCTACTTCTTTACACTGCACATACATGTACCAAGATCCTCCCAGTAATGGCACTTAACCAATGTATGAAGAATGATTATATGGTAATTGCATCATAATATTAATGAAGCATCAGAAAGCAATCGGGGAACTGCAACTAGTGGAGCTACTTTGCTTTCTTTAAAAGAGATCACAGTTTCAAATGCACCAACTAAGGCCTTAACTCTGCTTTTCCTAGCAGCAAGAAGCTCTCTTGCAGTTTCCTCAATCAGCTGATTAAACAAACATTGTGCATGTTCCTTATCATGAACATCTTGATGCCTGAAAACAACGTTTTTAGTCTTCTCCAGAGAAGTATTGGACTCTGAAACATTACCATTCTGATCGTCACCCGCCATGTTAGCCAGCCTAAATTTGAGTCTCTTTGGACTATTGCTTTCAGAATGAAGATTTGCTATCTTGTCTCTGATGAAATCTAACTTGTGAGGAGCCACAACATTATCTTCTGAGTTAACACTACTACTTCCTGGTCTACTCTTTATTACACTTTTTGGAGCACCTCTGTAGGTTCTCTGAGTTACCTGTCTGTACAAATTAGGTTCAGTCACTCTACTAAGTTTAAACAGAAATTCCACATTTTCTCCTTTCCTGTCTGGATATAATTTGCGATTCCCGAGCTTTTGATTGAAGGTTTTAGTAAATACATTCCCCAGATTATGCTTAGTGGCATTCCAATTTTTCTCACTGGTACAAGATATTCCAGATTTGGCTTGATTCTTCACTGTGATGGGGGATATTACTCCCCGATGTTTCCTCAGCTTCATGCTTGATACCCTAGTAAACTTAAGCTCAGTGGATGGAGAGGTTGACACTGGTGAAAACACTTTCTTTTTACCAACATCTGACTTGCCCAATTCCTTAATTAGCTTCTCCTGGTTCCTTCGACCAGATAGATCTATTGAAGACATTGATGAGGATGAAGATTTCATCACCAACTTGTCTAGTTTTGAAGACATTGCAGGTTCAGCAGATGAGCCAGTTGTCTTAGAAGGGGATGAAGTTTCCTTCTTGATTACTCTGGGTCTGAGAGATTCAATGGTGCTCTTGGCATATGATTGGCCCTTTTGTTCATCTGGAAACTTGACTGAGTTTGTTGTTTTCCTTAGTGCATAACTCTTTTTGACAAAAATTGGTTCCCTAGATGTCTCATCTCGTTCCTGTTTGTTTACTTTATGTCTGTTGGAGACTCCACTGTCTTTGTTTCCATTCTTTGGCTTGTTCACCTCTCTCTTTACTTTCTCACCTATACTCAAGCTCTTCATCTGTGTGTGTTCTTTTGAGAATCTTGTTAGACCAGTTGGTTTGTAGATATTTTTCTGAATTGATCGTGTCTTTAACTTCATGCTTGAAACTTCCTTGGATGCTACATCTGCATGAATAACAGGTCTGCAAGTAGCATATGATTTGGTCTTATAATTCTTCAGCTTCAATCTTGCCTGTTGATCAGATGATCCAGAAAGTGTCTTCACCTTGACATCTACCAGATTACCATATGATTTTTCTGTTCCATCAGCTGTTTGACACTCAGCAAACACACTGCATAATTTTGATGGATCTGCATACTTATGCACAACAGAAGCAACACATTCCTGAATTGCTGATGAAATCACAATTTTTTTCCTGACAGGTTTGTCAAATGATCCTCCAACCTGAGTGATGGGCACATGCTCTTCAGTTGCAACATCATTCAGTAATCTATTTCTATCGAGTCTTGTGGTTTCTGGTTCTCGAAATAAACCACTGGATTGGTAAGTTGATACTTGCTCCTTAGATGCAATGACCATAGATTCATCAGACAACTTTTCATTTTGATCAGCAACAGAATGCTCAGGGTATGCATCATTTATTTGGTCCTGCAATCCAGCATTATGCTTTAGGATTGATGATTCACTAGCTGATCCTTCAGCTAGGTTGGCAGTTAAATCAGAAATACTAATTATCTTCTCTGGTGGCAGATCCATCTGCTTGATTAATCCAATCTTATCAATGAGTGCATCTTTTGTATATGTTGGATCTTGCTTTCGCCCCAGTTTCTGCCTTCTTTGCCGCTGAGTCATAAAATTTGATTTACTGTATTCTTCAACAGGCAAGCCTAAGAACCTTGGGAAAATGAGATGCTTTTTCTTGACATCAAAAACATGCTTAATTCCATATTGACAGAAATCATCACTCTTTGAAGAAGAAAGTGAAGCCATGGTATTTGGCTTTGCTGTTGAATTTGTAGTTGTTATTCTAGTATATACCTTAGGGGTTACTGGGATGATAACTCTCTCTTTACTCATTTAAGTAAGAAATATAATCTTACGTGTGTCTTTAATTCTGTAACAAGAGAAGCACAAATGTTAGTGCAAAATAAGCTGCATACCTGGGCAATAAAACTTGAAGGCACACCTATCGAAGAATTAGTAGCAATATGAATTACAGCATCAATTTACACAACCAAATTTGATCAAAATCGATCATAGTTTTTTTATGATTAGGAATAACACAAAAAATTCTGGAAATTCATTTGAATGAATGAACTATGATTTCAATAAAAATGTCATTTAACACACAATGAACTATTTTATGGCTTCTTGTTGTTTTTGTTATTGAACAGGGTAAAGGTCAATTAAGAGATGCATTAATGGGCTCACAATGCATGCTACTGGACAAACTTTTCTACTTCAAAATGGTTGTGGAAGAAACAAATGATTGCATATTATTTAGGACTTGAACAAATTAACATATCAGATGATATAAAACAAGCAAAGGCCTCAGCTAAACAGAGCAGAGGCTGCAATTTGTAACCTGTGTGGCTCTTGATTGGTTCTTATTCCAGTTATTTCTTATCATGGTCAAATAATATAGTTGATAAATAGCCAGCTAGTTCCAGATGACTTGTCTACTGAAGTTTTACCATATGATCAAACAGCTAAAGGAACAAAAGTTTAGTCAAATAAATAATAAAGTTCAGGTAATTTAAGGGTATGATTGATGCTGATTCAATGACAGATCCATTTCTTCTGAGGCACAAATATGATTGTATCAGTAGTTAATTAGAGATTGAAGTAAAACTCAGAAGAGTAGGTCATGAATCAACTACAGATATATGAAAAAAGGACACCAAGAAACAATGATGAAAAATATGCAGTCTCCATAAATAAAGACACATGCTAACAGCTGCAGTTCATGAAGAAGGCAAAAAAAAAGACAAAACCAGATATAATAATGTTTTATTGAAAACCTACAAAATGACTTGCTAATGATCAAATTGCCACTAGATCACAAATCAAGACTTCACTGCAATAAATAAGCTATTCTGAGAAGATGATAATATGAAATACACAGGCATTAGCAGCAACCAAAAGAACACTATTGCTTTAAAAGACATAATTTAACACTCCAAATGTAAGAAAAAACTACATCAAAATGATTAAGATTACAGTGAGAAGCAGGTAGCTAAGTTTATTGTATAAATTATCTAATGCTCCAGTCAAATTATTCTGCAACATCATACATAACCAAAGAAGAAATTGTTATGCTTTCCAAAGCTAAACCCTTTAATTTTCCAAAACATCAAAGCCTGACAGATCAGATTTTACATATTTATAACATGTAAACCTATATAAATACATATATGTAACTCTATGTTCCTCTAATATTTACATTACTTTGTGTCCAAAGTTAGTGCTGATAGAAATAACGAGAACAACCATCAGCATCGATCATGGACATACTCCATTCAGCTTGGAAACATATGTTGATCATAGCATTGATCATAGACATAATGAGAACAAAATCATCTTCCGAATTTGACTCAAAAACATACATTGTGGCAACAACTAATTATCCCATTTAAAGCTTGGTCAGGCTAATATGTTCACGAGAAATGTTGTCCTAGGAAGAAGATTAACTAAAATATTGAAAAATCGAGGAACCAAAAATTTGGAATTACAAGCCATAGTGTTGCTTATGTGATTACAAATTAATTAGGTCATGTCTTTTGAAAATGCAAATGAGAGAAAAGAGTAATGTCAAGATTACAAAAACATTTCTTTTCGTAGATTTTCCTGTCTCTCTTGGCAGAATAATAGAGCATACACACAGTCATCAAAAGAATCCTACTTCTTGAAAAGCAGGATGTTTCCTGCATCCAATTACCATTACTCCCACCAACATAGATTAAAAAGAAATCAACTAGTATTGACTTGAGCAATTGTTTTCACCTCATATATATAAAGGAGAGAGAAGCATTCATGAGCAGTCTGTAAAAGATTCCCAACAATTTCACACAGGTACGGTGTCGTGACATAGGCAACATAATGATAAGAAATGCTGATAAATTACAGATTTTTCTTACAAGTTTGCGTCAAAATCGATAGGATCAAGAAGCAAAGGAAGGCAACAAACTCGCGAAACCAAGGAAAGCAAGCAAATCACGGACCTTTCCAATCGTACAAGAAATGGTACATGAGGTCGCAACAAAAAAAGCCGAAAAAATGCGCATCAAGATCGTACCTTTCGAGAATAATGGACGAGCAGAGCAGCAAATAGCGAGGAGGAGATCGTGTTTTGAGTGGGTTATAGCGGAGTGCTTCCGTTCGCCGGAGAGAGATGGCAGAGACGAGACTTCCTGTGTGAGTTCATCCAGTGAGAGGAGAATTAATGGGGCTATCTTTCTTTCTAATTAAGGATGAACAAAACCATAATCTACGGGATTAACATAATACTGCAACCATAGAACCAAAAATAAATGGCTTAAGAGTGGTTTGGTGATTGTTGTCTTCGTTAACCATTTTAAAGAGCATTTATTTTCCTTCACTTTTCTTGCAAATTATCTGTTGCTAATTTATTTATTTTTTCTCAAAATTATTTTCAAAAATATTAAGTGGTAATTTGAAAATGTGTTGATTTTTATTGGAGAGTGATATATTGGAAGTTGAAACTCTTTTCTTTTATAATAATAATAATAATAATAATAATAATAATAATAATAATATTCTCTTCTCTATTATCTTACTTTTGGACTCATAACATAGAAAAGAATTATGAGAATACTCGTTCATATAAATAATTGATTATTGTGATAAATCAATTTGGTTGTGATAAATCAACAATATATATATATATATATATATATATATATATATATATATATATATATATATATATATAAAGAAGGAAGGAAGCAAAGGCGAAGAGTGGCGAGGAGACATGGCCGTCGCGGGTCTTTACCGGCGAATACTCCCTTCTCCGCCCGCTATTGAGTTCGCCTCGTCGGAAGGGAAGGTTAGTTATCTCAAATTTTATGCTACACTCTTTGATCCCCATCGTTCTGCTCTCTAATCCAAAGACGGAGAAAGAAAATCAGCAAGAAATGGGGATTTCTGCGAACTAATTTCTCGTTCACATCGGAGATTCGATTTGGGTTTTCTAGTTTTGATTCCTTGATAAGTTCAATCATCAGTGCGTACCGAATACCAATGTTGGATGTTGCATACCTAATGTGTGATTTGACTGTTAATGAGTATAGTGTGGTGAAGAAAGGCGTAACAAGTTTTAGTCTTTGTGTGCTACAGACATAGGGTTTTCGAGGACTTAGCTTGTTGGAATGTTCTTTGGATAACTATTGAACCCGAGAGATTTTATGCAGCGAGAAAAAAATTGCATCTTTTCTACTTAGTGGTGAGTAACATGGTCACGTGCAAGTTTGTTCTTCATGGTATTGATCCCATGAATGGTTTCTCATAGTCAAACAGTCAGCGATTGGCTAGAAGTGTTTCACGCTCTTTACAAATTTACATCCTGACCTTGAAACTCAAAGCCTAACAGATGGTAAGAAAGTACTAAAAGTTACTGCACAGTATCTAGGCGGTGGATCCCATGAGAAACATATGAACTTCATTTTTTGGATGCTCATGAGAATAGAACATGATTCATGCCCTGGTTTTGGTTTCACTAATCCCTACAATTCTTGTTTGATCCTGTAATATGGAATTTGCTTGACTTCTTGATGCTTTTTTTTTTGTCTGTATGAGTTAGTTCCTGTTTCCACAGATAATTGCATGTTTCATGACAAGATATACGCCCTGTATAGGTTTCTCCTGTCTTCCATGATAAGATATGTCTTGTATGTCTTTTATGAAATTTTTTTCCTGGTAGACCTACTTTCGTTGTTTCATACTATTTAAAAGTAAAAGATGCTGTTGTTTTTATTGTTGATACTCTGTTTTAGCTCCTTATACAATGGTTATATTCAGGTTTAAGTACTAGCTTTGGATGTCATTAGGACAGATCTTGTCTTTCTTTATGAGCCAACATTATATTTCTTCTTCATTTTATTTTTCTTCTCTGACAAAATTTGCAGAGATTATTCTCTGAGTCTCTTCAAAATGGAACAATGGAGGGGTTCTTCAAGTTAATTTCTCACTTCCAAACACAATCTGAGCCTGCATACTGTGGATTGGCCAGCTTGTCTATGGTCTTGAATGCTCTTGCAATAGATCCACAGAGAAAGTGGAAAGGTATTATTTCATCACTAGTCTTCATGTTATTTTTTCCTAAATTAGGTGATATCTTTTTTTGTGCAGATTCACTTTCAGTTATGCAACTTAATAAATTCTTGTTGAGTAAATATACACTTGTATCTCTTGACATTCTTCTCCCCATCTTTGGTTGGTGATATCCTTTCAAAGGAATTTTTTTAGGTTCAGATTTGATTTTTTTTTCGTGTGGATCCTTAAACAATTTCCCGTTCCAATCGTATGTATAAACAAGCATTTGACTAATTCATTGTCCAGTTCTGAATCATATATGACTTATTTCTGATACTAATATATACATTTTGCTATTGGTAACAACAGATTGCTACCTGGTAATATGCAATGTTTCTTGAACTTAATTGCTTTTGATGTGGGGCTGTGATAACAAAACTGGAATATTTACAGAAGTCATATTTTATCTTCATTTTTCACCTTCACTTAAAATTTGTTATGATGGTTCTTTTTTCACTTTTTAGGTCCTTGGAGATGGTATGATGAGTCCATGTTAGATTGTTGTGAACCTTTGGAGAAAGTTCAAACTGATGGTATCACATTTGGGAAAGTTGCTTGCTTGGCTCAATGTGCTGGAGCTAAAGTCGACTCTTTCCGTACGAATCAAAGCACCATAGATGATTTTCGTAACCATGTTGTCAAATGCACCTCTTCAGAACACTGCCATTTGATAGCATCATATCACAGGAAACCTTTTAAACAGGTCCCTCTACTTTTCCTCAAAAAAATATTCTTTTTGAATGTTTGTCCAATCCTAATTAGCATCAAATTGATATATTGTGAGGAATATTGCTTTCAATGAACTGCAAGTGACTTTGTATGGAAGAGGATATGAGTTAAATGCAAGTTTTCACTTCTTCAGTGATGTATTTGCAATGTTGGCTTGTATATGGAAAAGCATGATGGTAAACCATTGATTTATTTTTTAAGATCAGGGGCCTATGAACTTGTTAGTTATACCTCTGCATCAGTAATTGTTTATATAGAAAGATGCATTAGCAACAGTGTTTTTTTTAATCTTTAGTTTTTTTTGCAAATATTATCCACAGCTAGAAGTTTTTGGTTTTATAGCTTAATAGTTGAAATAATATTATGCATGGAAACTTTTTTTTTTCCTGTATTAGTATTTATCATGAGTTATTCAATGGTATATGTTTGAAGAACTAAATAGTTATATAAAATTTATAAGTTCAGGGAAGCTTGTTGGTCTTAGTTCATTATTGCTTTATAAAAAAGCAAAATTATATATTGTAGCTCCCTTTTGTCTCCAACTGATTAAGCCAAAAGCACCATGGTGTGGGCACATTAATGTATAATATTTCTTTCTTTAAACAAATTGGTTCTACGAATTAATGGAAGTGTTTAATGAAAGCAATAACACTTGCTGGTTTGGTATTCTGTGGCTGTGCTTGTCTGGAACATAGAAATGCTGCCTTTATTTGGAACTAGCATTGTACTTTCTAAACATGTTGATTGCATCACATGTGCTGGTGGCTATTCACCACTACTTCTTTCGATATCACCTCAAATTACTTGCCATACAGTTGAATTACTTGAATATGCATTAGTAAGCGATATGCTTCATATCTAATCGTTATAGAATGATCTGCAGGAGTTGATGTAAACTATTAACTGGTTCTTAGACTTTGAAAGTATTTTATTCTTTTACCACCTAGGCACCTATTTATTCGCTGTTCAGTGTTGGCAGAAATACCTGATATGTGTATCTTATTTACATGCAGACAGGAACTGGCCATTTTTCACCAATTGGTGGATATCATGCAGAAAGTGACATGGCACTCATTTTGGATGTGGCCCGTTTTAAATATCCTCCTCATTGGGTTCCACTTGCTCTTCTTTGGGAAGCCATGGATACAATTGATGAAGCAACTGGGCGTCCACGGGGGTATGCTTTGAATCATTCACTTTTTATTTGTCCATCACTTGAAAAGGAGCATGTTGATTCAACTTGCCATTTTTTGTGTGGAAAACATTATGCTGTGTGCCAATTCTTACTTGCATGATGCGACTTTTTAAGGAAAACATAGTTACCTACATGTTACTAGTAAATGATCATCTGAAAATCAGGGGGAAATGGAGATGTGTCATCTCTGATGTTCTTGATGTAGGTAATCTCTACTTGCATCTGATCTGTCTTAGATATTACATGTGAGTTACTTCTAATAGATTTACATAAATGTAAAACCTGATAGACATACATGTAGTGGGCTTGAGAAACAATATTTTAGCGCTGACTTGGTAACATTGCTACTCCACGTGTTCATTTATAAGAATAAAGGGTTTGTACCGGAAGCTTAATAGGTAAAGTGAGCATTGGTTGGCAGTGTCTATATGATGTTTTATGGTCTTATTATTTTTTGGCATCAAACATATTGTGTCTGGCATTTGATATCTTGTTTAGCTTCCTACAAGTATGAGCCCATCATATTTTTCATCTGAGCTTTTATTTAACTGGTTTGTAATAATTTGCTGTGGTTTAAAGTTTCTACATGATGTGAAAAAAATAGTGGTTACAAAAAAATTCGTTATATCTGTCGTAATGCAGATCAGATCCGAACTAGATCCCTATAAGACCCTAGATAAGACAACCGTGCTTACTGAAACAGGGCAGCAGCTGATCTTGTTAATTGCTGCAAGGTGTAAAGAGGTCCCTTTGAAGCATTCTAATGCATTGGATGCACATGATCGATCATGATCCGGACAAAGTGTTATCATTGGGAGAACGTCCAGGATTTAGAGAGATATCTTTTCGCTTTTGAGCAGGAAACCAACAGTTCAAATTGGAAGTCTTAAGACTTCAAACTCATTTGGATATATCTAAAGGAGATAAACCATTACAAGGTAGCTGACCTTTAAAAAGACTCAATCAGACATAGAAGAGCAGAATATTACAAAACAAAGTCACTGTAGAAGTTCTTGTAGTTGACATAAATCACTCTTTAATTGATAGATATTTCTATTATAGAATAGAATTAGAGTTGGCATAAGATTTGGGTATCGTTGGCTTCTAAATATGTGCTTTGGTGTAAGGCCTAGGCCCTGTTTTGAGATTGATATTATTTTGTTTATGCAACATAGTAGACTGGATTGTTAGAATTGAGAATCCTTTTCCATGGGTTGGAATCACAGTTCTAGGAGGGTACTGTCCTATTATATGTCTTAATTATTTGTTAATATTGATGGAAGGCCCACAAGAAAATGTTTAGGATTGATATTAACCATTCTGTTTGGAATCTCTGGTCCACATGTTGGCCAACCAATCTATATATTTGTCCAAACACTTCAACTGAAATGAAAATTTTGGTTTGAAGAAATTCAGAATTTTGACTAAATGGGTTAAGTCACTTGACCAAGGCGACAATTGATTGATTTCAGTGGTTCGGTTTCTCGGTTGCAATTTCTATTAGGGGAGGGGGAGAGAGCAAGACAGTAGTTGTGGCCTTTGTCAAGGGGAAGATAGGGAGAGAATAAGGAGTAAAGAAATCAAGAGGGAGACAACAGCCTTTGTCCAGAGGTGGGGTGACAGAGAAAGAAAAGGGAAGAGAGAGAGAGAGAGAGAGAGAGAACAACAGTAATGCCCGAGAGTTTTTGCCCTCTTGTCATATGTGTGCATTGAACATATCATGCTTCCAAGCAAGGTTCGCAATACCGTATCGTATCGGAGTTTCGACCTGGGCTCGGTACCGGTACGGTACGGTATACCGCTCGGTACACCCAGGTGTACCGAGCGGTATATTCAGGCGTGCCGAGCTACAGTACTGCTACAGTACCGGACCGGTACGTACCACCCGTACCGGGCGGTACGGACCGGTACTGCAGACCATGCTTCCAAGGACCTTAGCGAAGAGCATATGGACTCTTATGGCTAACTAAATATATGTTTTCATTGCTTGGTTCATTTGCTTTTCTTGTGGGATGAAACTTAACAAAAGCCGAATATCTGGAGAAAATCTTAAAATCACAACTGAATGGACTAGGTTCAGTTTTGTGGATTTCTTTTCTTATGTTTATTTTCTTTCTTTATGAATATTCCCGGTATATTGTACGTGGTCCACAAATCAGATTTTTTCAAGATTCTTCCCACATATACTTCAAATGTTTCTTAAAGATGGAGGCATTTAGGTTTGGAACCTCTCGGTTTCTGAAGCTTCTTATGAACTTGTCCTTTTGTCACCACATACATAGAACAGTAAAATTAGTTGTATTTTGTTTACTTTGATGGGTCCCTTATATCCTTTTGGTCCTCTCACTGAATTTGATTCTTAGATACACATTCAAATCCTGTTTGTGTTTACATATCCACAGACTGTTGTCAGCTTGATTTGGAAGTCATGGAAAAAGAGGTAAAGGTGTGTGTATATATATAAAATGTGTTTATCGACAATATACCTGATCTGTCACTATGGTTGCACTTGTTTCTTCCAAAGTTCTAAGTGTTAAACCTTTAGTTATTGACTTGGAGATTTAATTTTTTTCAGGTTTATGCTTATTTCGAGTCATCAGAGAGCCCCATCCTTGCTTTATACATTGGTAAACGATTTTCATTCCTTTTCTTCCCTCTTAAAAATTTAATTAAGCTTTCTTCTTTGAATATATAGGGCTATCAAAGAGATTTGGTTATAGGATTTTAGTTCGTCATCAAATATAATTGCCTTTCTGTACTTGCCTTTTTTAACATATGCAAAGACAGACAGTATTCAGTCAGGTGCACAATATACATAATTATGAATATGCTTATGTTATATTACAAGTTATTGTGGATCTATCATGTATTATAACATGTTACAGGCAATCACCTTGGTGCTTTGATGGTGAAGGAGAATCATGACATCTAGGTTTCGCTTGTCTGTACCATCACATATAATTAATTATCTACCATTTTCAATACCATTTTAATGAATATGTCAATTGACTTCAGAAAATAATGATATGCATTATAGTTTGTTATCTTAATTTTTAGAACAGCTTTTGCAAACTTCAGTGTAATTTTAAGTGTTTCAGTGCTAATATGCAAGGATCCTGTTATTATTGAAATGATAATTTTCTGAAAATAAGTATGAAATCTATGATGCTAATGTGTTAAAATAACTATAAAAAAAGCAAGGTGAACTTTTCTCTAGTTTGTCACCCAGATTATTACGTAGGCATAAGGGGAAGTTTGTCATCTAGATTATGTGATTTATGATGTCATAGTTAATATTATATTTGTGTGAATTCTCGAATATTCTTTAGAGCTGCAGAGATGAAAGTTGGGTGAGCATGGCAAAGTACTTGATTGATGATGTACCTATTCTCCTGAAGTCTGAGGACCTAAAAAATGTTCATGAAGTTCTGTCTCTCCTACTAATGTCCTTGCCTGCATGTGCTGGAAATTTCATCAAATGGGTTGCAGAAGTTAGGAGACAAGAGGAAGAAGGATCTAGCTTAAGCAAAGAGGAAAAGGATAGGCTTGCCGTGAAGGTCTTGCTTCTTTTTCCCCCTATTCCCTCTCTTTAACCTATTTTGTTTCTTGTCTCTGAATAGTCCCTGGTAATTCTCTGGTTTCAGGAAGAGGTACTGCAACAAGTTCATGAAACCGAGCTATATAAGTGTGTGACAGACTTGTTATCTTCTTCAACCTCAAATTGCAAGCTAAGAAAAAAAGATTCATTGACGGAGATTGCAGCTAATGTCTGTTGCGAAGGAGCAGCTCTGTTATCCGGAGGCCTAACATCTAGAAATGGAATTTGTTGCAGAACATGTATTAGATGCTTGAAGGATAACGGTGATGAACATACGACCGTTGTCTCTGGGACAGTAGTTTCAGGTGGCGGCAATGAACAGGAGGTTGATATGCTGGTACCGGTATCAAAAGCAACGGCAAGGAGCAGTTGTGATACCACATTGAATAATTGCATTGTGATGCACCCTGCAAACAATGATGTTTTAACCGTTCTGTTATTGGCTTTACCTCCCTCTACCTGGTTGGACATTCAGGATGAGAGCTTGTTGGCTGAAATCCAAGGTCTTGTTTCAACCGAGAATCTACCTGATGCTCTTCAACAAGAGGTTGGCTTCTCTTGCTTTTAATTCTTTCTCGTCAATTCATTTCTTCATTTCTTGTGTTTTATATTATGAATGGACTTCGACAAACTCGTATATATGCATGACAGGTTTTGCACTTGCGGTGGCAACTCCATTATCTAAAGAGGTGTAAAGATAAGGAAGTAGATAATGATCTTACATTGCCTTAGTTCATTTGGTGCGACCATTTTTGCATCTTCCTTTGTAATCAGAGGACATAAAATTGTGATATTAAACTTGATAGATCATTGCTTGTACTGTGGCTAGTCATCGCATAAAAGATGAGCCAAACGATTGACAGGAAAAGATCATATTGTTGGGACCTTATTACATCTATATTTTCTCATCCTTGGATGTGTTGTTTGGTGTGCTGTTCTGAATATTGACGAGAAATAGAGAATCTAATAGGTAACTTTGAGAATCAAGGGCTGATCGAAATATAGAGAATATATGATACCAAATATAATGATCATTTGGATGATGTCGTTTTAATTGAAGTTCTCTGATTGTTCTTGGTTTCCTATTGGATTAGCATCTCCTCATACGTTTCTTTCTTGATCAACAGTTTCGTCAGGCCACTTGCATTCCATATTATGGCATTTGCTCAGACGTCGGTCAGTCTTCTGATCGTTCAGTCCAAGAAAGTGATCACCAACATAATATTGATGTTATGTTGAACAGAAAATACCGGTGCATAAAGATTCATGCAACCTTTAGCATATGCAATTTTGATATGTGCCCATTAAATGTCATAATGGAATGTCTCAATTTTATGTTAAATGCCACATTAGTGCATCTCATATGGAGGAATCCAAGCACTTGACACTAAAACCCAGATTCGTGGGTGACAGATAAGACATCAAAATCTTGTCCAGTTAACAAAAAAATCCAAAATTCCATTTGAGCACAAAGATTGGAAAATGGGAAAAAGAAAAACTTAAGCCTTCACCATTATACGATGGCATTGGCTGCACTGGCAATTCTAGGCCACAGATCAGCACATTCCTTCCCTATGGGTCCTGTGATAGCAGAACCTGAAAAAGGAAAAGATAGAATAAAAGAATTAATCAATCTAGTATCTTTCAACTTATATAGCTGAAAGAATTAACATGAGAATTAAATGAGAAGGAAAAAATAAAAGAAAATCTATAAATATTTCAGAAACTATGATATCGTTAGGAAAAAGAGATAAATTTTACCTTTCATTTCTCCTTTTGGATTCACAATAACTCCAGCATTATCTACAGAAGACAATTTTTTTAATATGAGTCCATAATTCAGCATTATACTAAGCAGCAAAAAAATACAATATAAGGACAGCCAACATGACTCCACCAAGTGGCACTAACATAAAACTATGCATAAGTACCAGAGTTAAAAAAACATTATAACAAACATTAAGAGCCCACTAATTTTATCATCTACCTCCCAACCAAGTGAATTCACTATGCATGAGTAATTTACCAGGAGACAGGTAACATAATGCTATTCTATAACATCATGCTGTTTAACACTGGCCAAATTAAATATATGCTTCTCACTACAGAATGACTCCAGTGGAAGCCACTCTTCCAGAACAGAAGCAACTCCAAAGGATCAGATGACGGCCAAAGTTCAAACTACTTTAACCTATGAGAGAGGCGACTGTGATCCAGATTACAAAATAACATATTATTACACTTCTGACATATCACAACAAAATGGCTAATATAAACCTAGTGCACAAGCAGGTGTGACTCACGACCAGTCCCAGGCAACAGCAACAATGCTGCTGCTCCAGGTGATGGAATATGAAACCACCCCTAAATGCAAAAACTCCCTGCAAGATATTCAACTTCTCACAAAAAAGAAACATCAGCAACCAAAGACTTTGTATGTGACATTAACATGAGAATTGTAAACATGTAAGTTAAGGAGAGTCCTATCCAAAGCATCTCTTCAATCAACATAGATAACCTTCACATTAAAGTTTAAATATGGGAAGAATTGATTCAGTGTAAGCTACCACCTTTATCTTAGCTCAACAGCTATATGTATGTCTCATGGCCAGTCCCAAGAGGTAATGGCAGCGATGCTGCTCCTCCAGGCGATGGAATATGAGACCACCTCCAAATGGAGGAACTCCCTACAAAGATTTTAACTTTTCAGGAAGAACCATCAACATCCAAAGACTCTGTATATGACGTTTACTCAGGAATTTACAAACATAATTGGTTTGCTCCATCAAGTTGAGGAAATTCTCACCCTGAAAATCTCCTCCGTCAACATAGATAAAGATTCACAATGTCGCTACCACCTTGATCTTAACTCATTAGCTAGATGTATGTCTCATGGCCAGTCCCAAGAGATAACGGCAACAATGCTGCTCTTCCAAGCGATGGAATATGAGACCACCTCCAAATGGACAAACTCCCCACAAAGGTTCACCTTTTCAGGAAGGACCATCGACACTCAAGAGACTTACAAAGGTTTACCTTGTCTGTGACGTTTACTCAGGAATTTACAAACATAATTGGTTTGCTCCAGCATGTTGAGGCAATTCTCACCCAGAAAATCTCCTCTGTCAACATAAATAAAGATTCAGTGTAGCTACAGCCTTGATCGTAGCTCAAAGCTAGATGTATGTC